TTTGTTTTTTTCTTCCTCTATGGAGAGGAGTTCCTCTATGGAAAGGACCTTCCTGAAGGTCATTAAACTTCCTGGCTTGGGCTTAATGGTGGAAGGGCATCCTCACATTATGGAAAAAAATCCTTGGGTGCCTGGGTGGCTCAGATGGTTAAGCATCTGCCTTTGGCTCAGGTCATGATCCCAGGGTCCTGGGATCGAGTCCCACATCGGGCTCCCTGCTCCTTGGGAGCCTGCTTCTCCCTCTGCCTCTCTCTCTCTCTCTCTCGGTCTCTCATGAATAAATAAATAAAATCTTTAAAAAAAAAAAAAGAAAAAATCCTGTGATTTGAGCTGGCCTGGTATGGTTGGGAGTCCAAGATGACTAGAGACTTGAGATCACAGAAAATAAAAATACTCTGGTTTGATAACCCCCAAATATTATGTCCATTATACATGATACAATGTTCTGGATTCATCGAGAAGAAATTCTGTTCCTACAATTCCTACAATTAATCATTCTAAAAATAATAGATAATATCTACTGACTGCTTATTATGTAGTATGCATTTTTCTAAGATATATATTTAATCCACATATAATCCTATGATGGAGGTACTATTATTACTCCCATTTAATACATAAGGAACTAAGGCCTGGATAAGGGGTAAAGTATCTTCCAAATGCACACGGTTAAGCAGGAATTACTGTTTGAAGCTGATTCTGTATGATTGTGTATCCCAGGCTCTTTCAGGCCATCTCTATCCCCTGGCCTCTTTCTTCATCCTGCTCTTCAGCCTGCTGCCCAAGTCTGTTCTCCCTTTAAACACTCGGCATTCTTTGTGCCAACCAAACAATTCATCATTCCATGTGTATCCCATCACATTTCCCCTCTTCTACATTGTTGTTCATCATGGCCCGTTTGCTTGGGATGCCCTCCCCCAACCATTCACTATGGTCCAGGGCTCTGCCTAACTACCTCACCACCCCAAACCTTCTCTGATCCCCATGGCTGAAGGGAAATTGTCTTCTGAATTTCATTTTTGTTTACAGTGTCTCCATTTCAATACAGAATTAGCCACATGTTCTTTCTTTCTTTTTTTTTTTTTTAAGATTTTATTTATTTATTTGAGAGAGAGAGAGAATGAGAGTTAGAGAGCACGAGAGGGAAGAGGGTCAGAGGGAGAAGCAGACTCCCTTTGAGCAGGGAGCCCGATGTGAGACTCGATCCCGGGACTCCAGGATCATGACCTGAGCCGAAGGCAGTCGCTTAACCAACTGAGCCACCCAGGCGCCCCTCTTTTTTTTTTAAAGATTTTATTTATTTGGGGGCACCTGGGTGGCTCAGTTGTTGTGTCTGCCTTCGGCTCAGGTCATGATCCCAGGGTCCTGGGATCGAGTCCCCACATCCGGCTCCCTGCTCGGTGGGAAGCTGGCTTCTCCCTCTCCCACTCCCCCTGCTTATGTTCCCTCTCTTGTGTCTCTGTCAAATAAATAAATAAAATCTTTTTTTTAAAAAAAAGATTTTATTTATTTGGGAGAGAGAGAAAGAGAGAGAGAGTGCATGAGCAGGGGGAGGGGCAGAGAGAGAAGAAGGCTCCTTGCTGAGCAGGGAGACTGATGTGGGGCTCGATCCCAGGACCCTGGGATCATGACCTGAGCCAAAGGCAGATGCTTAATGACTGAGCCACCCCTAGCCATATGTTATTTCAAGAGTTACCTCAGGATTCAGGCTTGCATCTCCATCACCGTTGTTCCTCGCTAGCAGTTAGCACAAGACACGGATGAGTGGATGGAAGACCCTTGTCTGCACATAGTGGACCATCCCTAAAGCAGAGTTCAGCCAAAGAACTGTGTTGGATCCAGAGCTGGGATTAACATGATTAAACAAGATTAAACAAGATACTGGGAATGACCTCTTTCATATCAGCCTGTGACTCATCTGTGGAAATTCAGTATAAGAGTCAGTAATAGGAAAAAAAAAAAAAGGAAAAGTCAGTAAAAGGATGCAAGGACCCTGTGTCTACATGGCCTTCTGTCCCAAGAACTGACCTTCCTGCTTCTTGGAGGCCAACCTCCTGCCTATTGCCCTGTCCAGCGATTACTTATTCTAAGTTCCAATGAATCCCTTGCCTGCCACCAGTGTTCTATCTGAAGAAAGTGCCAAACACATTTGTTCTCATACCAGTTTCTCTCTTGGAGAAACTGTCCCATATTTGGAGCTCTTTGAACATCTGTACAGGAATAGGTGGTGCAAGCAAGTCCAGGAGGTAATGTGTGCCTGGCTGGCATACCTCAGGAGGGAGGCCGACTTGGTGACCAGATGGCATTTGGTTCTTGGGAAGCATGAAGAATGACCCCTACTCAGGGCCAGCTAGTAGTGACTTAGGTGAAGATTGCACGCTCTGTCTTGGGGGCCCTAGACTTGCTTTGTCTTTGAATATGAGCCCGTTCTCCCACTATCTGGGTCAGGGTCACCTCTCATCACGATCAGCTTTCCTTCATGCTCTAGCATCATTTCCAAATAGCTCCATGTACCTTCAAATCAATGTGTTCAGACCTCCCTCTCTCGTAGGGAAAAGAAACACAGGAGCACTAGAGGGGCGGTGGTGTAATTCTCTTTGGTTTCTCTGGAATCCTGGAGTCACATGGATGGGATGCACTCTTTCCTTGCTAGAGGGAGGGAAGGTATCTTTTGAGCAATTTAAGATTCTCCCAGGAGGTCAGAAACCAGTTTAAATGGCCCTTTAAACATTCTTAGAGAAGGTCATCTCCTTTGGGCTCTGCATACAGTGACTGAGTGCAGTCAGTTCTCTGGACCAGAGTTAGACCTTGGGGCAATGTTTTGGGTCCAACGAGTGTTCACTGTGTGTCCTTAAGCAAGTCTTTTCTTCATTTGGAATTTAGATCTCCTTACCTAAGCAAGGAGTAAGTTGAATCATATACCCTTAAAAGGTCATTTCCTGCGTGTGTGTGTGTGTGTGTGTGTGTGTGTCTTCTTGAGCCCAAGGGAGAATAATGGTTAAATTGAAGAGATGCATTTCAAAGCCATCATTTCCCCCTAGAAAGAGAACTCTTTTAAGTTTTCTAATCACTTCCCACATGTCACATTCTCCCTCATAAGTCTAGAATTGGTTTTTGTGCCTGAGACCTCAAAGCCATCTTTTGATTTCTTTAGGTTGAGAATCAACTTATTTGGATATTGGATGCTGAAAGAAAAACCTCTATTAGCTTCATCACAAAGCCATCTTTTCTCTTTTTCTGGCCAAAGAAATGGACCTGGTTTAAATTTTCAATATATGATAGTATGTATAAATGTTGACATAGCTGAGCTCATTAAAAGTATCTTAAGCTTATCATCAATTAGTCTTGAGAAGAATAAATACAAATGCAATTAATTTATTATTTATTACTTTAACACCAGTTAGGTGAATGGACAATCTCCATGCAAACACCAGTATGCATTACACAAACAAGACAATTTGAAAACGAAGGGGTAACACAGGCACAGAGTAGTTTTTGCATGCATGTAACCAACGGGAGGCTGGATGCTGGCATAAGCTGCCACTGTTCTAAATAGCCTTCAACAAGTTTCTTCTCTGTTTCAGGGTTGAACTGTTTAGGTTTATATCTAAACATATTAACTGTTTATATCGAAATATATGAACATATATAAAAGATTAGTGGGGAAAACGTTTGAACACTGGTTAAGATTCCATATGTTGATTATTTAATTGGATAGCAACATAACACTTATTCACTGGAAAATCACAAATACGCACTGATATTTACAAAAGCTGTTTCAGTTAAATTTAAATTAAAGGAGGATGGTACATTTTAGGATAAAGAGGAAAAAGGGTCTGAATTCTTTTGCCAGACACAATTGGTGCCCAGTCTACTCTTAAAAGAATCTTTTGATTAGGAGAAGAGTCAGGATGGGGGTAATAAATGAAAGCACAGTTATATCTGTAAGGAAAGCAGATAACCCCAAATACTTAGTTGATTGGCTTTAAAATGCATTATGTAATTTTTGTAAACACAGAATTTACAAACCATTTGGTTTAAGCTAATATTAAAGTCAGTTTGCATTTTCTGAGGTACAGTGATTGGGCTGAAGGTGAGTGTGCTGGGTGGTGACAAAAGAAAATGTTGGTTGAAGCTTCACTGTTGGGTAAACAAACCATTAATTAAGAAACAAGCAAACAACCCAATGACCCTTTCTCTAGAGAAAAGTAGGAGTTATCCCAATGCGGATGGGTCAATCCCAAAACACGGGCCATTTGTAGTCTCTGCTTCAAAAGGACCAAGGAAGAACTGAAGACATATATACACAATCACCACAGATGTAAAATAATACAAACATATGCAGTCCAGGGCTGTGCTGCTTAGCAACATGCAGGGAAGATCGCCAACACTTCTGAGGAGGTTGGTGGGGAGGGGCGGGTGTCACTGAAATTCTGAGGTTAAATCTTCCACATTTTAACCCAGGACAGGGGTTCCTTTTTTTGCCCCAGGAGGATAGGCTGCACTGTGAAGAGTTCTGGGGTCTCTGGTCCGAAAAACAGGAATGAAAAATTGGGAATGTTTGTTCACATTAAGTTACAGTGGATGGGGTTTCCCTTATCCAAACTGTTCAATATCACTTCTTCATTCTTATCACTGGTAGAGTTAAAAAGCACTTTCACCAACTATGGCCCCCGTGGGCTCTCCCAAGAGTCCTGTAAGGGAGACAGCACAAGTGTTTTCATCATCCTTGTTTGGCTGAAGCAAAACCAAGAAGCAGAGAGAATAAGCAGCCAGTCACATAAATCTTAGAATTAAGTCTTGAAAACCCAGGCCTTTCCTTTCCAAGTAGAGCTCATTTCGTTTGTTCTCAAAAGAGATTTGTCCTAGAAAGTGACCCAGACCTTCGCCACATAGATTGTGTTCATCGCCAGTGACAAGCTCCACCCCTTTCTCTGTCTCCTTCCTCCCAGACCTTAAAAGCCCAGAAAGCCTTTACACTAAGGTATCAGACTGGGTGTGTTCCTTATTTCAGGACTGCATGTCTTCACCCAAAAGCATGATGAGCTTGCAAGCATCAGTGGAAAAGAGATTTTTTTGGTCCTTTCCTTTGAAATTACACCATTGTAGCTAACCAATGGCCTGGTTATGAGAAAATTGTTTTTCTCACAGCCAGAATCCTAGAGAATATCTTTAGGGAGGTAGTACGAATGGAGTGGGAAAGTTCAATGGGATGGCATGAACCCTCTTCCCACAAGGCTATAAACCCCACACACTCTGATGAACTCATCCTTATGTTTGGTCATGGCTAAGTGGTTTATTCTATAGACTTTTGATGTTCCTGCCCTGATGAGATGCAGAATGCAGGTAGGGAGATGGAGAGTGAGTGCAGATAACCATCTGAGGCCCCTGACTGGCCCTAGCTTGGTGATTCCAACAACTTCTGCCATTTTGTCTTGTTATTTAATTTCGGCCCACAGTAGGTAATGGGGGCCTTGTCGGATCTCCTTGGTGCGGCCAGCACACAGTAGCTGTTCGGTCAATCTCAGTTGCTGTTACCTGTCTCGAGTCTCAACGCATGTCAGGACCGAGCAGCCTCCTGCCCCTTGAGGGCTGTGAGGCATGGAACACAGCTATCCTTCCCCGGGCAGCCCAGCATGAACTTGGCTACCGATGGAGTATGTGCAGAGTTCCGGCTTCTGGGCTTTCCGGACGCCAGCGGGTTATTTCAGCCTGATACAGTCCACCTCTTCCGTGGCTGGCATGCCGCTGGTTTTGAGGTCCAGGTCAGCACTGGACTTGCTCCCATGGTGCACAGGCCGCCAGTGGAGCCACATCATCCTCTTGAAGTACTTCATGGTGTTGTTCTTGACGGTCACGAAGCACACGGTGTTGATCATGCTATTGCTCATAGCGATGCACTCGACCACGTAGAAGGCCGTGAGGTAGTGCTTCTCCTTGATGAATACGGCGGGGAAGAAGTCGCGCACAATGGTAAAGCCGTAGAAGGGCGCCCAGCATAGCACGTAGGCTGTGAGGATGCACATGAGCACCAGCACTGTCTTCCTGCGGCAGCGCAGCCTCTTCCGGATCTGCTCAGTCTGGAAGCCCGGCACCGCCTTGAACCAGAGCTCGCGGGAGACCCTGGCATAGCACAGGGTCATGGTCACCACGGGGCCCACGAACTCCACGCCGAAGATGAACAGGAAGTAGGACTTGTAGTAGAGCTGCTGGTCCACCGGCCAGATCTGGCCGCAGAAGATCTTCTCGTGGCTTTTGACGATGAACAGGACCGTCTCCGTGGTGAAGTAGGCCGACGGGATGGCGATGAGGATGGACACCACCCAGACCAAAGCGATCAGGAAGGAGGCCGTTTGATAGTTCATCCGTGGTTTCAAGGGGTGAACGATGGCGAGATATCGGGGGGGGGGGGGGGTGGGGAGGAGAGCCATCAGTAATAATGAGGTGTGCTGGGAAACATTCCTGGAACTAAGCCCAAACACACTGCAAAAGCAGACAGAGTGGCACAACGAGTCTGTGTAATTATCCAGCTTCAACAGCCTTCATATTATTTTAGCAACATCATTTGGCATCTGGAGTAGTCTGTATTTAGTGGAAACTGCACAGGCTTTGGTCAAACAGGAGCAACAGATCCCAGCTTTGCCCCCTGATTGGCTTTGGGCTCTGGAGTCAATCACTCAGCCTTTCTGAGATTTGTTTCTTCAAATGCAATATGGGATAAAGTGACACCTACCTTGAGGGGCTGCTGTAAGTATTTAATATGATAATGTCTGTAAAATGCTTCACATGCAGTAGGTGTTCAATAAATATACATGGCATTATTATTGTTAGTCCTGTGGATACCACCTTGGCTTTCCATCTTGTCATTCTGCCCAAGAACCTAATCCTTTCAAAACTCTTCATTCCAAATATCTCATGGGTCAGAGGGGAAAGAAGGGCTCTGGAGCTCAGAGAGAGCTTCTCAGGGCAATGGATTAGGGCTTTCTCTTTCTCCACCCCCCCAGGTGTCATCCTGTATTACAGAGCAGGAAAGAGAACAGGGGTTGGGCTTGGTGTGGAATCTAAGGAATCTATCTAATGAGAGAAGTAAAAGACGTGACCAATCCCATTGAGTGCAGGGACCAGAATGCAGGCTCCTGATACAAAGCTTTTACACCCACCTTCCTGGGCTGTCTCAAGCTCAGATGAGGTGTGTGAAGCTGCCTTGACATCATACAGCCGTAACATAGCATGAGGCTTTATCCTGCTCTTTCCAGTGAGCAACAGTGCCGGGGAAAGAGGCTGGAGCCCTTTGTGGGGTAGGCATGGGAAGGCAGTCAATACAGGCTGTGTTATTGAGCAAGGCTTCACTGTAGGCAGCTGATGCTTATTCCTGCTGAAGAACCCCTGGAGCAGATGTGGTTCACCCAGGAGTGGGAGGGAGTCGGGATATTGATACACCAACCATCAAAGTCATTGGTGAGGGAGCCAGAGATGGCCTTCAGACAAAGAAAAGCAGGTGTTGGCAAGTGGCAGTGGACAGATGTGCACTGAAGTGATAGTAATAAGGGGATATGAGAGGGGCATCGATTGCATCTGCTACAATCTGGTAAATGCACAATAGGTTGCTGGTCCTGCTGTGTGCCCAACCTATGTATATGGAAACAAAGTAGAAGACACAGTCCTTGACCTCAGAGAGCTTCTCTTCTACCCAAAAACTAGAATAATCAAGTGATAGGTTAAGAACTTGAAGGAAGACACAGTCATTATGTCAGTGATGTAGTCTGGGAATGCTTCACAAAGATATTGAGATTCTGGCCACCTCCTATTCACCCTGTTGATGAAGGTGGGACTCTCCTGACCTAAATAGTACGAGATGAGTGAACACACAAGACCTGACACTGGGCAGATGAGACCAACAGCAGTTAACTAGTCACATACACTCACAGCCCAGGGGGAGGGACAGTGCCCACTATGTAGGAACATGTGGGAGTTGCACTCAGGGATAGAATGAACCAGCAGGGGCTGTGGGAAGCAGGCTTTATGGTGACAAGAGGATGAAGTGACCCTTGACTCCCATGGGAGGATGTGATTGGCTTGTTTGAATAATTTTCCCAGCTGGTGGGGAGGGGGGAAACCCATCAGATTGAGGATTAGGGGTGCAGCTGGTCCAGCAGAGATAGGAATAACAGGCCAGGAGACTTTCCTGCTGGGTGGAGTGGTGTATCTGCCAAGAACAGAGGACCTCATGGCTAGGGACCTTGGGGGCCCTGTGGTGTTCAAAGATGTCAAAACAGCACATGAAATTTCAGACTTTATAACACAAGAGCTTAATAAATAGCACTCAGGTTTCTAAACCAATTGAAAAATAAGGCAAAACGACAAGAAAGATGGATGGCCAAACTCTCACTTCCGTTGTGATGACACTGGTATTGAATATTGAGCATAAGGACCACTTCACACTCAATTAAATAAACCTACAAACCCCGACACAGGTGAGTGGGAGAGACACAGGCCTCCCTGGGCACTTCAGTTTACTCCTTGGTAAAACATGCCTGTCCTACTATGTAGAGATATCAGAAGGGCTATCTACTAGCATTTCTGGATGCCACAGTCAGAAGAAGAGCGAGGTTCATGTGCAGAGGACCTGGTTTCATAGAGACCCTAGGAGAGTGTGGATCTTGGGACACACACGTCCAAGCAGAGAGATGGTAACAATGACCTTGCAGATGTCCCTCTTGCCAATGGACAAGTCATGGAAAACGATCAGTTTTAACAAAGACCTATAGCCTCCAACATACTTTATGTCTGTCTCCCTTCTCTGAACCTGATAAGAAGCTGGAGAGGTTGTCAGCAAAGTTATTATTATGCCCATTTCACAGATGAGGACACTTAAGTCCCAGGAGCATAAGGGATTTATCCAAGTGTACAGCTGGGAACCCAGATGTTCTGAGTAACTCTTAGGCCAATGTTCCTTCTTTTCTCATTTATTTGATGTCAACTCTGCATTTTGGGATATCTTTTATAATGAGGAAGATGTTATGGGATGAGAAAATATTAGAATTTAAGAATTGATCCGAATAGAGGTAGGAATATAGAAATTCTCTTTGGCATTGGTTATCGAGATACTCTTCATGCTGGAATTATACTGGAGGAGGGGGAGCAGAAGGAAAGAGAGAAAGAGAGAGAGAGAGAGAGTCCTGAATTAGTTCTGCTTCCAGAGTCCTCTTGACTAGCCGCACAGCATTTCCAGAACAGCCCTCCCCTTCTCATCTCAGGCTCTGCTTCCCGCGCTCCAGTGGTCAGCTACATGCAAAAGAATGAAACCAGACCACTTTCTTACACCATACACAAAAATACATTTAAAATGGATTAAAGACCTAAGTGTGAGACCTGAAACCATAAAAAGTCCTAGAAGACAGCACAGGCAGTAATCTCTCTGACATCGGCCATAGCAACATTTTTCTAGATAGGTCTCCTGAGGCAAGGGAAACAAAAGCAAAAATAAACCTTTGGGACTACATCAAAATAAAAAGCTTTTGCACAGCAAAGGAAACAATCAACAAAACTAAAAGGCATCCTTTGGAATGGGAGAAGATATTTGCAAATGACATATCCAATAAAGGGTTAGTATCCAAATCATATAAAGAACTTATCAAACTCAACACTGAAACAACAAATAATCCAATTAAAAAATGGGTAGAAGACATGAGCAGACATATCTCCAAAGAAGACATACAGATGGCCAACAGACACATGAAAAGATGCTCAACGTCACTCATCATCAGGGAAATGCAAAGCAAAATCACAATGAGATATCACCTCACACCTGACAGAATGGCTAAAATCAAAAACACAAGAAACAACAGGTGTTGGTGAAGATGTGGAGAAAAAGGAGCCTTTATGCACCGTTGGTGAAAATGTACACTGGTTCTGCCACTGTGAAAAACAGTATGGAGACTCCTCAAAAGTTAAAAAGAGAACTACCCTATGATCCAGCAATCCCACTACTGGGTATTTACCCAAAGAATACATAAACACTAATTCAAAGGGATAAACACACCCCTGTATTTATAGCAGCATTATTCACAATAGCCAAATGATGGAAACAGCCCAAGTGTCCATCAATTGATGAATGGATAAAGAAGATGTGGTGTGTGAGTGTGTGTGTGTATATATATATATATTAGCATATATTGCGCACGCGCGCGCACACACACACACACACTGGAATATTACTCAGCTATAAAAAAAGAATGAAATCTTGCCATTTGCAATGACATGGATGGAGCTAGAGGGAATTATACTAAGCGAAATAAGTCCATCAGAGAAAGACAAACACCATCTGATTTCACTCACACATGGAATTTAAGAAACAAATGAGCAAAGGGGGAAAAAAGAATCAAACCAAGAAACAGAGTCTTAACAACGAACAAACTGGTGGTTACCGGAGGGGAGGAGGCTGGGGGGGATGGGAGAAACAGGTGATGGGGATTAGGGCATGCACTTGTTGTGATGAGCACCAGGTGTTGTATGGAACTGTTGAATCATTATATTGTACACCTGAAACTACGATTCCACTGTATGTTAACTAACTGGAATTCAAATAAAAACTTAAAAAAAAAAGAAGAATGGTGGTAATGTTTTCAGCCTGGGTGACTTGGTGGACTGGAGCCGGGAAGCTGGTTCGGGGTGAAAAAGGAACCATTCTTTGTGTTGTAACTGGATGGTTGCTTCCTAAGAAAGTCCTATGTTGCCCAAAACTCCCCAGCCTGATAAAGACAAAGGTTTCAGTGCGACAAAGGGGAATGAGAACAGTGATAACTCTCCCTTGCGTGAGCATCAGAATCCCTCAGGGAATTGAATAAAAATGCAGATTCCTGGGACTGAGCTCAAGGGATTCTTATTCAGTAGGGCTGGGGTGGGGCTGAGGGATCTGACTTTGTATCATTTGCCCTGGGCAATTCTGTACAGTTGGTTGACAGTTGCATTTTATAAACACTGGTGTTAGGGCGGGAGAGCCTCAGAGCTGTAATAACAAAATGGTTTTTCCTGCTGGAATTATGTTACAAAAAGATGATGATTCTTCTACCTCTGTGTGTATTTCATTATGGAAAATAATCAACTGGCTGATTAAAAAGAATGACAAACCTAAATAGCACCAAGAACAAGGAAAAAACTGATGAATTCAAAGGAGACCAAAAAGAAGAAAGATATTTTAAAAGACACGTCATCAAAATGAGTTTCAGCATTCCGTGGACCCAGAGGATGTTTCACCAACTGCCCCCCTGGAACAGAGCCACTGGTGGTCTGACACTCGCTTATAGCTGTTTACATAATTAAAATGTGTAAGATTTGTCATAAGCTGCTACTAGAAATTTTATAAATTTTGTAAATTTATAATAGAGCAAGGACTTCTAGAACATCTCATGCAAATGTATGCAAATGAGCACATGGATGTATGCAAGAAAACAAAGGGAAGGATGTCCTTCTCTCTTTTCTACAAATAGGCCCTTACCTTATTTTAAAATCAGCTCTACAACAAAGCCACCAGGAACAAGGGTACATTACTGTAGGACTCCGTTTTTATGAAGTTAAACAGGCAACACTAAATTGTGCTGAGTGAAATCAGACGGGTGGGGTGGGAGGACTGACTGGTGCAGGGCATAAGGGAGTGGGAAACGTTCTAGATCTTGATTTGGGGAATGGTGGCAGGAAAAACTTGGGACGTGTTCTCTTGACCGGAAGTTGCCCTGGTGAAGTCTGCCGTGGCTTCTAAGTAATAAGCTGCCCAATCTTTCTGCTTTTGGCTTTTGTGTTTGGGGCTCCTCGCGGTCAGGTGGCATGCCTATCCACGGCAGATGTCGTATCTGCAGGTATGGCCCAGAGCTGGGGGGCTCAGGTGTCTCGCTCTTGCCCATGTCTGGGGGGAACCTGAGCCACAAGTGGAGACACCGGGTCTCCTCTTGCCCCGGATAGATGAGCGGCACGCAGATCTGCAGCAGCGCCAACGTGTCAGAGCTGAAGTGAGGGAAGGGACAGCCTGGCTCGGCCCCCGTCTTTATCCACCCCCCGCCCTGGCCCACATCATCCTCACCTGTCGATAGCGATGGCCAGCAGGGCATTGGTGGAGACGTAGAGTGAGACGGTCCGCAGGTAGTTGACAGAGGCACAGAGCACGTGGCCATGCTCCCAGGAGAGCTGGCGCACCACGTAGTAGTCCATCTCGAAGGGGCAGCAGATGATGGCCACCAGGAAGTCGGAGATGGCCAGGTTGGCGATGAGCAGGTTGGTGAGGTTGCGAAGCTTCTTATAGCGGGCAAGCGCAGCAATAAAGATGAAGTTGCCAACGCCGCAGACCAGCATGATGCCTGCCAGTGCCACACCGATGACGATCTTGGCAGCGAAGAAGGTCCGGGTCTTGGTCATGTCCTCACCCTCGTCCAGAGGGAGGTCATAGTCACCGTAGCTGAAATTGAAGGGGACGGGGGAGGTATGGTCTTGAGCCGGACTGAAGTTGGGTGCAAAACTAGCGTTTCCAATCTGGGCTGCCATGGCGAAGACTGCAGGTGGAGTGGTGTGGGGGTCTCAGCGGGCTGAGTTGGGGGTCCAGACCTTCTGCTGTCACGACTCACCCAGCCCAGCACCCTGCCCACATCCCTGAGGAGAGTCAGCGTGCCATCCCGGACCCTGGAAGGAGACACAACCAGTGGGCACTCTGCAGGAGGATGCCTGGGAGTATTCTCCCAGGGTTCCCCAAGTATAGGCCAACCAGACCCAGTGACTCCCCTCAGACAGAACTACCCCGGGGGTACAGGGGAAAGGAGACAAGAAATCTGAAAATTGGGAAATCTTCCATGGGCCGTCCGGCGGTCCTGGGCAAAGGATGAATTGGACTCTCCAAAGACATCCAAGAAGAACCTGCATCTTTGCCCTTTTCCCAGGGGCCAGGATCTGCGTGCCTGCCCAGTCACATTCCCCTTCCCCACCATCAACTCCTGCAGGGTCTTCTCAAAGTTTCACAAGCCTGCTCCAGGCCGCTGGCCCAGGCTTCCACAGCAGTCACAAAGTTGCGCCATCTGTTGGTCAAGGACACTGAAGCCAGAGGACTGAGACACAGCCAGGTCTTTCCTCTAAAGCAGGGCACTGCTCCCTCTGTCCTGGCCAAACCTCGGACGTGGAAATCACCAAACCCATTTTCACATGAACAGGCTGAGTCATCTTGGGCCAGTGAGTTATACTGTCTGAGTCCCGATCTTCCTGTAAACCAAATTCCTGCTGCCTAGCCCAGGGCCTGGCTCGTAGTAGGGACGGGACAGGAGTCTGTGGGATGAATGAATGAATGAGGATCTGCCCAGGATTGTGTAGGTGAAGGGGGCTGTGGATCGGATGGAATGCTGCTGCTACTCCTCTGGGCTTTGGAAACCAGATCTAAAAAGAAATGCTTTGTCTGTGTCTCCTCCCTGCTCCCACTCTTCTGATCAGCTCCCTGTCCCCTTCACCAGACCCCACCCGGTTGCCCACCAGAACCAGCCCTAACTGGGAGGCACCACATCCTGTCACCAAGGTGTCCATCCTCTGAAAGTGGTGGCCGCTCCATTTTAACCGAAAACAGCCCCCAAGAATGGCGGGTAGGGCGGGGGTAAGGTGGTATCAGTGAGGACCCGGGAGGGTCTGAGGGCTGAACTATCCCTCATTGCCTGAGTCCTTTATGTTCTCAGTACCTCAAGATGCCCACGGCAAAGGAAAATAAATTCTCTGAAGTACTGAGGGGACATCATTGGATTCAAGGCGTCAGAGGGCCTCAGAACCCCCCGCATCCCCAAACCCGCAAAATGAGGACCCCAGCCACGGAGCTGTGACTCGCCTCTGCCCGCTTAACACAACTGGAAACGACCCCAAGTGTGGGGGCCACGGGATGCTAGTAGCAAGAAGTGGACCAAACAGGACAGTGGGTTTGGCCCGGCCCCGTCAGAGGAGGCGGAGAGCGAGGGACAGGAACCGTAGCAGCTGGGACAGCAGAAGCGGGGTGGCCGGGCCACTCCGACCTGCGGCGCGTCCGCCCGCTGCGCACCCGAGGGATAGACCTCCGACAGATGAGTTCCTCCGTTCGGGTGGCTTCTCCCTCTCCCGCGAAGCCCGGATCCCCGCAGACGGCGCTCAGCCGGAGACCGGGAAGCAGGACTCGCGTCCTCTCGCCTTTCCGCGCTGCGCGGCTCTCCAGTCCCCAGACCCTAGAGGAGAGAACGTGAGACTGGGTGGCGCAGGTCCCGGCCCCATTTTTCGCGGGATGCACTCCCTGCCCCAGACCAACCCGATCCGGGAGTCCTCTCCCCTCCCCTGCCCTCTCTTACTCACTGCCGGCGCCGCCCCGCAAGGGCGGGAATCGAGTCAGAAATTCAGGCTCAAAAAGCGAAGCGTGAGGGGCCTCCGGACGAGAAGAAAACTGTGGGTAGGGGCAGGATCCGGTGAGCCGGGAATTCTCCCGGAGAGGCTTCCCTTTTCAGCTTACCTTTCAACAAGACGCCCCCCGCCCATGCCCTCCCCTACAGTTTGGAGCTCGCCCGCCGGCCCAGCACCCGCCGGCCCGGCCCCCTCCGCCCCTCCGCCCGCGCCCGCGCGCCCCAGTCCCGGCTTCCCGTCGCCGGGTCCTGACGGGCCCGTGGTGGGTGGCGGACTCTCCCGGCTCGAACTCCTCTACTTGGAGCCAGCCCGAGTGCCTCCCGAAAGGTGCGGGAGGCAAAGCCACCGGAATCCCCTCGAGAGAGAAGTGGGCGTCAGCGCTGCCAGCCCGGGCGACGCCCCCCACCGCACCAAGGGAAGACCCGGACTGCGCAGAGCTCAGCACCTTACCTGCCTGGGCGCCTCCTCCCGGCTCGCTCCGCTGCCCTGGCCGCTCGGTTGGGTCCTGGGGGACCCCAACTTGCGCGTGCCGTGGCGCTGCGTACGGGTTGTCCTGCTTTCTTCCTTGCTCGGGCGCGCTTCCCCCGCGCGTTGCGGTCTCTGTCTTCCCGCTGGAGTTGGCGCTCCGCCCCTGCTGTTGAGCACGGCGCCTCGGACCCGGCCGGGTGCGCCCCGCCCCGCGCTCGACTCCGCCCTGGGGTCCCCAGCCCGCCTCCCTCGGCTCAGTGGCACAGTGTGGGCGCTGCGCTCCTGCACCTGGTGTGCCCCGGGCGCGGGGCGCGCGCAGTTCTGGCTGCGTTGGCGCTGATCCCTAGTCCGCTGGGTTGGCCCCCCGCTCGAAGGGGCTTCTGCGTCCTCGCACCCGAGTGTGAATGGGACTTCAGTAACTGGGGTTAGAGGGTGCGGATTCCGAGGAACCGGCAAGGTCCTCAGTGCCCCGCCGAGGCGCCTCGCGGGGGTCGCCAAACCGAGTGTCCGGTCTTCGGCAGGAGCCCCGTGCTAGGGTCCGTTCCCGCACAAGGCTACTCCTTCAGGAGGAGGCTGGAGTACATTCCGTTGTGCCCGAGAACTGGTACTGGGGAGACTTTGAGGGTGCAGAGTGGGCCCTTTGAGGTGGGTGGTGGTGGAGAAGGAGGCCCCGGGGGAGGAAGCTGGGGATCCCGGGCAGGTTGCCCTGCTATCTCCTACCCTGAAGTCCTCACCAGAAGCCTGCGATATCCATATCCACCACTGCCAGATTCCTTGGCCTTTCAAAGACCATCCCAATTGGGCCTCCGCCTGTCTGGAGCCCTGTTTCCAGAGCCCTCTACCTTGCTTCCGCCAGGCTCTGATTTTAGGCAATTTCCATTACTTCTCTGGTCCTTGGTTTTCTTACACAGATTGGGCAGATGATTCTTTATTCGGATTGGGAAGGAAAAAATAAAATGGTCTGTGTTGCAGATGGCATGATGTCTGTAGAAAATCCTAAGGAATTGACACAAAAAAACTTCCTGGAACTAATAAATGATTATAACAAAGTTTCAGGATACAAGGTTAATATTTTAAAGTCAAATGCTTTGGGGCACCTGTTTGGCTCGGTTGGTTAAATGTTAGACTCTTGATTTTGGCTCAGGTCATGATCTCAGGTTTGTGAGACGAAGCCCCCATGGGGTTGGGCATGGAGCCTGCTTAAGATTCCCTCCCTTTCCCTCTGCCCTTCCCCCAACCTCTCCTTCCAACCCCCCAAAAAGTCAAATGCTTTCTTAGACACCAGGAATGAACAAGTGGAACTTGAAATTAAAAATACAATACTAGTTACATCAGTGGCCCCCCACAATAAAATATTTAGGTATAAATCTAGCAAAATATGTACAAGGTCCATACGAAGAAAACTACAAAACCCTAATGACAGAAATCAAAGAAGAACTAAATAAATGGAGAACTATTTCATATTCACAAATAGGAAGACTCAATATTGTCAAGATGTCAGTTTTCCCCAACCTGACCCATAGAGTCAATAAAATCCCAATCAAAATCCAGCAAGTTATTTGGTGGGTATCAGCAAACAGATTCCAAAGTTTATATGAAGATTCGGAATAGCTAACAACACTGAAGGAGAAGTCAAAGTTGGAGCACTGACATTACCCGATATCAAGACTTCCTATAAAGCTACAGTAATCAAGACAGTGTGGTATGGGTGAAAGAATAGACAAATAGATCAATGGAAGGGAACAGACAGCCCAGAAATAGATCCACATAAATACAGTCTTTTGATTTTTGACAAAGGAGAAAAGGCAGTACAATGGAGAAAAAGTCTTTTCAACAAATGGTGCTGGAATAATTAGACATCCACATGTAAAAAAATATCCATCTAGACACAAACTTTATAGCTGTCACAAAAATAACTCAAAAGGGATCACAGACTTAACTGTAAAATGCAAAACTATAAAACTCCTAGAAGATAACATAGGAGGAAATCTAGATGACCTTGGAGTTGGTGATGGCTTTTTAGATACAACAACAAAGGCGGGATCCATAAAAGAAAGAATTAAGAAGCTGGACTTCATTAAGATTAAAAATGTCAGCTTGAGTGAAATAAGTCAATCAGAGAAAGACATGTATCATATGACCTCACTGATATGAGGAATTCTTAATCTCAGGAAACAAACTGAGGGTTGCTGGAGTGGTGGGGGGTGGAAGGGATGGGGTGGCTGGGTGATAGACATTGGGGAGGGTATGTGCTATGGTGAGCACTGTGAATTGTGCAAGACCGTTGAATCACAGATCTGTACTTCTGAAACAAATAATGCAATATATGTTAAGAAAAAAAAAGAAGAAGACAGCAGGAGGGGAAGAATGAAGGGGAGTAAGTCAGACGGGGAGACGAACCATGAGAGACAATGGACTCTGAAAAACAAACTGAGGTTTCTAGAGGGGAGGAGGGTAGGGGGATGGGTTAGCCTGGTGATGGGTATTAAAGAGGGCACGTTCTGCGTGGAGCACTGGGTGTTATGCACAAACAATGAATCATGGAACACTACATCAAAAACTAATGATGTAAAATATGGTGATTAACATAACAATAAAAAATAAAAAAAAGAAATGCAAAAATAAATAAATAAACACAATTGATTTTACATCAAAAAAAGATTAAAAATGTCAGCTCTGCAAGAGACACTGTCAAGAGAAATTAAAAAGCAAACCACAGACTGGGAGAAAATATTTGCAAAAGACACATCTGATAAAGGACTTTTACCCCAAATACACAAAGAACTTTAAAAGCTCCTCAATAAGAAAACAAACAAACCAATTAAAAATTTGGCCGAAACCTTCACTGACACCTCACAACAAGATATACAGATGGTAAATAAGCATATATCATCAGGGAAATGCAAATTAAAACATCAATGAGATACCACTACATACTTATTAGAATGGCCAATGTCCAGAACATCGACAACACCAAATGCTGGTGGGGATGTGGAGCATCAGGAACTCTCATTTGTGGTGGGAATGCAAAATGGTACGGCCACTTTGGAGGTGTGGTGGGTCTTTACAAAACTAAACATATGCTTACCATAAGATAAAGCAATCACATTGCTTGGTATTTACCCAAAGCAGTTTAAGATTGATCTACACAAAAATCTGCACATGGGCATTTATAGCAGTTTTATTCATAATCACCCAAATCTGGAAAGAACCAAGATGTCCTTCAGAAGTTGAATGGATCAATAAACTGGAGTACATCCAGAGGATAGAATATTATTCAGTGCTAAAAAGAAGTGAGCTATCCATCAAGTCATGAAAAGACACAGAAGAACCTTAAATGCATATTACTGAATGAAAGAAGCCCATCTAAAAGCCCTCCTGCTGTACCATTCCAACTCTATGACATCTTCGAAAAGGCAAAACTGTGGGGACAGTAAAAAGATCAGTGATTGCCAGAGGTTAGGCAAGAGGAGGTGATAAGTAGTTGGAGCATGGAGGACTTTTAGGACAGTGAAACTTTTTAAATGATATTATGATGGTGGACACATATCAATTACACGTTTGTTCAAACCCATAGGATGTACCACAGCAGGAGTGAACGCTAATGTGAATTATGGGCTTTGGGGGATAATAATGTGTCAATGTAGGTTCATCGATTACAACAGTTGTACCATTCTGGTGTGGGATGTTGGTAATTAATGGGGGAGGCTCTGCATGTGTGGGAGCAGGGGGTGTATGAGAAATCTCTGTACCTTCAGCTACATTTTGTAGCTGTGAACTTAAATCTGCTCTAAAGCATAAAGGCTATTTAATAAAGTGCGTACAGATTTTCTGGAGCTTGATTTGTTCATACATATAAAAAGCCTTGGAAATTTTACATCCTTTAATGCAGAAATTATATTTCAATGAGTTTTTCCTGTGGAAATAGTGAATGGAGCAGTTAAAGATTTCATCCCAAAGACGCTGAGAGCAGCATTGTTTAGTATAACAAGGAACTGGAAACAAAAAACCTGAACTTGCCATCCTTACAGAGTTCATTAAAATGTGGTTAAAAATGTCTTTTATAAAAGACCACATAATCATTAAAATTTTTTTGAATCAGTAAAAATTCACAGGATTCAAAAATCAAAACATACACAAAATGATACGTTGGGAAGCATCCCTCTCACCCCTGTCCCCTTCTATTTTTCCCCCTTGCAACTTTTATTTCCTGTCTATTCTTCTAGTGTTTCTTTTGGCCAATTCAATGATATTTTCTCATTTATTCCCCTCAAAGAAGTCTCCATATCAAAATATGGAGTGCTACTTCCTTCTTTTACAGTTGTAGTCTGTTGTGTGGATATGCTACAGGTTTTTTTAAGTTCCCTGTTCCTATAGTCACATTGGCTTAATATTTTCAAACTATGTCTGTTAAATCACAAATTGGGTTATTTCCCAATTTTTGGCCAATATAGTGCTATACATAATGTTATGATATAAAATTGCCAGTGCTTCGGTAAATAACTTTGTATGTCACATCTATTTGTATATGTGCAAATGACAATAAATTGGGTAATAAATTCCTAAAATGGTATTGCTGAAAGCAATAATAATAAATAATAATAAAATAATAATAATAATAATAATAAAAGCATTTGTAATTTGGGTAGATATTGACATGTTCAAGTCCATAGGGGTCTTGCCATTTTGCACTTCCCACGTAAGCAGTCTTTGGTGGAAGTGAGTGCCAGGGGCTGCACCTGAGTCAATAAACAAATATTTGTTGAAGCCCTAAGAAGGCAGTCATCAAAAGCAGGACTTCTCAGCAATGCTGGTCTCTCACACTTGACCTCAGAGTGTCCTCTCAGTCATCCCAAGAATAGTAGGGAGGGGCACTGTTCCCAAGAAAGTCACCTCCAGTTATTTTCCTATGTCTCTGTGTGTCTCTCACGGAGTAATTAATCATCAAATTAAGAAGCTGCCCTTGTTATCGACTGTAGACACATTTTTAGGTAAGCTTTTAAATTACTTTGCAGGTAAATGTAATTAAGCTCTACAAATTATTGTTGGAAAAAGTGGGATATAATTAATGGTTCAAAGTGCGTTTTGGCACTGGCTTCTACCCTTCATTCCATCTACCCAGTTTTCCCGGC